CAGTTGGTGCGTTGGACTGCTGATCCTGGGGAATTCTGTGAGCTCCTGCGCTACGGCTGGTGTGTCCTGCTTGTTAGTCCTAGTGGGAATGAAAAAATAATAGGGAAAAGTAATTTGATTTTTTCAGAACTGGGGTCATTCTCTTGGCCAAAGGGAAGTCTCTGTATTAAATGGTGTCAGATCCACTGTTGTTAGAGATCAAGATCTCCCCTTTTTGGTACTGTCCCTGTCCCTCCTGCAAGCATACTCCTACCCTCCTCAGGTCTGCTGTGAGCTGTGCTTTGTCCTGGAGGACACCACTTTGTGTCTCTGTCTTGGGTTTGCACGTGCAGGGGATAGCTACAGACCATCCTGCTTGCTGCCCACCCACACTTACTCCAGTACAGTCTTGTGAGGCTGCCGGCGAGGAAACTGTGAAGAAAAGAGGGAGCAGCAGGATGGAGCACCCCTGTCATGGCTTGTGCTTGTCAGCACTCGTTGCTGATAGACATGAGTTTCTATTATGGATATGTGCGTGTACCTGTTCCTGGGGAGGATGGGGCAGAACCCCCTGCTGTTGCTGCCTGGTGTTGCTTTGAGAGCCCTGTTACAAATCACATTTAAGTCGTATCTTGGTCCGCTTTCGACATATTTCATCAATAGTCCAAACCTCTCAAGATAAACTTCCTCCTTAGTTCATCTGGAATTTTAAGAACAAAGGTTGTCTAAACCCTGACGCCTTCACGACGACATTTCTTGTTATGTTTTGTAATAAGTGTCTAGAGCTGGGGCTTACGCTGTGATCCTTGCACAGACATGATAGAGGTGATTTATTCTGCAGAGCTCTTGCAGCCTGAATTTTGGTTAGAGACACAGACAGCCGTGGGGGGAGCAGAGCGTAAGGGTGTAGTGAGTCATTTATAAATGATATAATAAGCTCACAGCACATCAGCTGGCTAATTGTTCTCAAGTGTTTTGTAGGTATTATGGCAAAGGTGGGCTTTGGGGAACAATTTTAAGGGCTTTAGTCACTAATATCAAAGCGTTTGCGTGTGTGGTATTTTTGGAACAGCCTCTCAGGTAAACTCCCAATAGCTTTTCTCCGACTCTTCACCTTATCTAACATTTGCTAGTCTCTGAAGTGATGCAATCTATCACTAAAATAGCATTTGATGAAATTTATTAGAAGAAAAGAATCTGCTAGGGCCTAAAACTTTAAAAATGGCAGTTTCAGGTTTAAGTGGAAGCTGGAGAGCAAAGATTGTTGCTATTTTTTTTTTTTCTATGGCATGAGTAGGGGGTTTAAATAGGAGCATCGTGTCCTAGTTTTTGAGAATATGGAAAACTTTAAAAAGTGGTAAGGGGTCTAAATCATGGCCAGAGAGATTGAACTCGAGATGAAGCAGTTGCTACTTTAGCTATAAGCCTAGAATTGTGCTTAAAGTGTAGTGGTTGTTACAGATGCAGATGCACGCCTGCAGCTGTTGTTGCTTTGCAGCTAAGGTTCCGCTATAACATTCCTAACAGCCCGGCTTTTGTTCACTTGCCTTACTCATCTCACAGTCTTCATCAGCTCAGATGATTTCCGTGAGAGGTGAAAATCGGAATCTGGAAAGCTCCAAGAGATGAGGATGGAGAGGAGGAGTCGCAGCCAATTGATGCGTTCGTTTCATCCAGTGTTTTTGCAGATGCTCTTAAATGTTGCTTCAGTAGCTTAGTTTTAGTGTCAAATATTTCTATTTTTGTCTGTGTTAATTTATTGATTTTTTTTAAAAACAACCTTTTTTCCCCTCTAAGTTAATTTAATGTTGATCTAGGTTTGTATGTGATTAGATGTTTTAAATATTCATAACATTTGAGTCTTGTCTTCAGTGAAATTGCATGGGGGTGAATCTTGATCACTGCGCCAACTGTTCAAGAAATAATTTTGAAATGTTTTACCTTGTTTGCTCAGCAGTCCATCTAACATCCTCTGTCATGCAGTTAACATGAGGCACAGTAGTCCTTTTCATCGCAATCTGTGCTATGAATTGCTAGGCAGCAAACTTTCCAGTTGGATCACTTTTATCACTGTACATACGAATCTAATCCTTCCTTGGCTGTATTGTATCCGAGTGTGCCTGGTGCTTTAGAAATCGGTGTGAAGAGCATTGCACAGATGAGTGCCACACCAAGGAGAATACAGAAATCAAATTACATCTACATAAAAATTGTGTGTTGCGATACGATTAAATGAACTAATTTTTAAGTTCCATCTCAGACGGTAAATATATATTTCTTTTTAGAGTTATCTGCCTCACTTTCAAATTAAGCTGCTAGAAGGTTCAATTTTCAGGATGCAATTCAGTGGCAAGGATTTCTATACGCACAACTTCTCAGAAGGTGATAATTTGCTTCATCTAGAACCTTTTTTTTTTAAAGTTTACTGGGAGTTTAGGTTGCGATTACATTGTCATTTTCCAAATAGGCTGGCAGAAAATCTGTGAAATAGTATTTTTTTATAATCTCCAATCAAGTGACAATATTTTTTAATGCAACAGATACCTTTTGTGTGAAACAAAAGTTTTGCTGTTACCTACTGTTAGGTTTTTTTAATTAAATGTTACTAGTTCCTACAGTCTTTATTTGCTAGTAGGAGTTTTGTACTTGTTTTTAAGCTTCTTATCACTCAGAAATTTGTTTCTACTCGTTGGAATTCTGACATGGCTCGATGTCAGAGTGCCAAGGGGCAATCTTGAATATTTGTCAGAAATCTTTGACAAGAAGAAAGTGGTACAAAGTACCGAGGCACAGAGAATCTCGAGTAGCATGAGGTTGTGTGAAGAGTCTTTCTTACCGCAGAGGCTTGAGTGAGAATTTCCAAATTTCAGTCTTGCGCTGCATCTCTACAGCATTGTTCCTTTCCCACTCATAGAAAGGTTTTTTTACCTGCAAGAAGTCCTAAATTTCAGCAGTTTGTCTGTTCTGAAGATGACACTTCCAAGGCGTATATGTGGTGTGAGATGGAAACATTCAGTATGCAAATTTAATATGCAGATTTTTTGATATTTGTTATGCTGTTACCCGCTGCTGTGATGGCAATGGATGTACTGAACCTTCACGAGTCAGGAAGCCTGAAACATTTCAGTCTGATCTTGTTCCACGTCAGGGTTTGAAGTTGACAGAACTAATGCAGGTCGGTGCTTTAAAAACCATATTTCTTAGGAACGAATATCTGAGCATAGGAGTCTAGCTTTCAACGTTACAAACAAAAGGCCCATTTAAAATTTTTCCTATTACTTGATTCTTCTATTGTAGGTAATTTTAATAAGAGGAGGTGGAGCTTTTGGAGGGCTTTTGTTGTTGTTTTAGCACTGTTTTAGTTCTGGGTGCTTGAAGCACCTCCTAAAACATTTGCCTGACCTAGTCCTTATTTTGTTGTTTAGTTTAGAAACCTTTTTCTTCCCTTCTATGACTTTGCAGAATACGACGCCACATCCTTTCCGTGGTGTCAGTCAAGATAAACTTGAATTTTACCTCGCTACCAACACAACCTGAAGTTGGCAAAGCACA